CTGACCAATGGATTATTAGAAGGGGCATGTAATTGTCAGCGCAAGACCCTCCAGAGCCTCTGCGAGAATAATCCAGGTAGTGGCTGCTCCATCAGCCTCAATACAGAATGAGGATAAAGAGGTGCCAGCCAACCCTGGATGCATGTGTTCATGAGCAATTGGTTGTTTTAAGCCACTGGGTTTAGTGATAACATAGCTGATTCTTTAGTGATAACATAGCTGATTCTATGGACACACTTGCATGATTGAAAAATGCTGATTGATGCATCCTGTGTAGCAAAGCACAAAACACTGTTAAGAATGAAGGCTTTGGAGCCTAATCTGCTAGGATCTATACCTAGCTCCACCATCTATTAGCTGTATGACCTCAGGCTCCTTCTCCTCCCTATGTCTCATTTTTTCCACTTATGAAATGGGGATAATAAGTGTATTAGTTTCCTAGGGCTGTCGTAAATTACTACAGACTTGGTGGCTAAAACAACAACAGGAATTTTTTCTCTCATAGTTCTGGAGGCCAGGAGTTCTACATCAGTTCACTGGGTAGAAATCAAGATGTTGGCAGGGATGTGCTCCCACTGGAGGGCCTAGTGGAGAATCTGCTCCCTGCCTCTTTTCAGCTTCTGGTGGCTGTCACATTCCTTTGCTTGTGGCCACATCACTCCAGTCTCTGCCTTGTCTTCACATCGCCTTCGCCTCTTCTGAACTTGTAATCACCCTCTGCTCTTTCTTATAAGGGCACCAAGATTGTATTTAGGGCACACCTGGATAATTCAGGATGATCTCCCCAGTGGAGATCTTTAATTTAATCACATCTGCAAAAACACCCTTTCCTTCCAAACTAATGTTTACAGACTCCAAGGATTAGGACCTGATATCTTGGGGCGGCCATTATTCAGCCCACTACAGTAACTATACCTACCTCAAAGGGGTTTTGAGGATTAAATCAGACAATATACAGATGTCAATAAAAATTAGTTATTTATTGATATAGGAATGTATCTCATTTTACCTAAAACGTCAAGTCTTCAGATACCAAGTTACTGTTTTGGGTCCCACAGGCCACATAGAAGGCACCTCATGATATTAAAGAGCTATTTACCTCCAAATACTATCAGTAATCAAGGACCTTGAGTTGGGTACTTACTTGATTAAAACTATTCTTGCTGTAGAACTAAAGTTTTATGGCAGTGAAACCAGATAGGTGGTAAAGGGATGATTTTTTTTTGTACAAATTAAATTGGACACTGCACACTTTGGTCACAGAGCCCTCTGATATCTAAATTGTACTGGGAAATAAAAATATGCTTTCCTTTTTGCCTCCTTTTTTCCCCCCAGATGTGAAAAACAGGAGCTTGTGCTAAGAAATGGCTACCTCTTCAGAAATGCTATCTTTGAAACTCTTGCCTTAAGAAATGGTCAGAGTGTTATTTGGATTTAGCACATTAAAAAAAAAAATCTTACAGAGTTAGAAATATTATTGCTCAGTGGAAGCACGATAAAGAAAAGGCTGTGCAATAAACTATGTCGTGCCTAAGCCTCCTGCTATTTTTTACGCCATGTTAATACTGATGCAAATTGACTAGGGTTTCAGTGCCTGGTAGTCAGGGCTCTGGGAATACTGTCTCCCTCCCACCATCCCCAGACCCTCCTCTGCTGAGTCCTGCCATTAATCACCACTTGCCTGTCTCGAGATCTCCCACGGTTTGGTCACGGCTCCAAGGTCACAGGCTGTCATTAACATTGATCTGAAAAACAGAACCAAACAAAACAGCTTGAATAATCTTTTGTTGCATTCCTAAACAAACC